CAAGTTATAGCGAAAAAACTGTTCAAAATTGATGACGTCAAATTTTCAAACTTAATTTTTAGCAATTCTAGACCTCGTAGCGCAAAACAAAGACCACCATTAGACTCCCCATGACGAGCTGCATCGAATCAATACCCATTTTATGCAAAAATATCAACTTTGAAATTTGACCTTTTTTTACCTGACCTTGACCTGACCTCCACCAGAAAGTGGCCTAAACCGTACCTGATGGTCTTATAACCAACACCATTGAGTTGGAAATGAAAAACTGGCCATAAAACATGCATCGCACAACCTTAGTAAAGTTGGGTTCATGTGGTGACCCTTGGTGACCTCTGGTGACCTGACCTGTGACCTGACCTGGTATGACCAGTGACCTCTAATAGCAACATATGTACTAGACAACTGACGCCCTATCGCTGATTTTCGACAAAATGCGTTTTACTCGTTGTTAGCGCTTTCCCTAGAAGCCCCGTGAACGGTCAAACATTTTATCTTTGACCTGACCTGTGACGTCATCAGTGACCCCGAGGTCAATGAAATTTGGTTTCCTTCGACAGATTTGACAGGGCTATCGAACGCCGTTTGAGTTTTCCGGATCCGTCCAGTAGTTTCGGAGATACGGGGAGGGGGGCAAAAAATGCCCCCCCCCCCACCGCGCGGAAGGTGGCTGGGAGGCCCACCGCCTGCCGGGTTAACGTACGGTATCACCTGTTAATTCTTCAAAAAGCAAATTCTGAGCAATAACAGACTTCTTTGCATTGCTGTTGACAATTAACGTTACTTTTGGACGGTGGCTGGCACCCCCAATATGCTGCCACGCATTTTAAATCTAACGGCGAAACGGCAACTTTGCGAGAATCGAAAATTCATGATTTACGTGCAGCAGGAGCTGGTAATGCACAAGGACAGAATGTGGAGACCCGTAACTCGTAAGTCATCGGTCCAAGTTTGGGGGTGGGTTTGACGAGCATGGGCGTCACCAATGTCATTATGCAGATACGTTGATGTCAAATGCTGAAGCAACAGAATCGGCGCCAGGTTCCGTTTAACTTAGATTAACAGGTCGAAAGAAAGCATAGCATGTCCGGGAATGACAGAGTGGCCACCCTGACAGTGTGACGAAGTGAAACATGAGTAGAGACAATAGCCGGAGTACCAACTCATATAAATCAAGCGCCGTTTATATAACCATTCGAGCAGAAGCGGCGCCGGCAGCCCGGCCCGGGCGGCCGTGCCTACCGATGCCGATTAACCCGCGCGGGGCTGGGGGGTAAATTTTACCCCCCTCGCAATTTTTTTCAATAGCTCAAGAACGGCGGCGCTGCCAAACTTTCAGTACCTTTTCTTACATCAATTTGACACGTTCCCTGAAAATTTAAGCGAATTCCTTCGGATTTTTTTTTTGTTGAGAAAATGACGTTTTAGTGACGTCATGTTCGCCATTTTCGCCTCAAAAACGGCAAAATTTCAAACCCCGCTAACATCTTCATTTTTAAGGGAATCAAGACGTAACAAAAAAGGTTATACGTGATTCTACTTTGTCTATGAAATGGCTATCTCGGTTTTTTGAAAATTGTTGATTTTGGCCCAATTTTTTTCTTAAAAAACTGTCTTTTTTTGGGAAAATGATTATAAAATCAAAACTTTTGCGCGTATCGAAAAAAACGGAATATATGTCAGAGAAGTGGTCCATGTGCACCTACATACCAATTTTTAGAAGAATCGTTTCAAAAATGTGGGAGTTATTCAAAAGCTTAGGACGTCACGACAAACAATTTTTTTGAAAAAAATGATTTTTTTTTTGAAGTTCTAGACCTCGTACGGAAACAAAAATAGCACTATTCGATTCGCCGTGAAAAACTGCATCAGATAGACACCTTTTTAGGCATTAACAACCAACTTCAAAATTTGACCTCACTTGACCTGACCTCGACCTGAAATTTATCCAGTTGTGGTCCATATCACCTATTGAGTGTGCCTATTGAATTCTATGAATAAAATGACCCATAAAACGTGTCGCACATGCCCTTTTCTATATTTTGTTTTTGATGACCTGACCTTGACCTCTGAATGATATTGTATGCAAGTAATATTGTCTTGGTAGCCTAAGAACACGTTTTGGGCAATCAGTCTCAGTACATGACTCCATTCTTCGGCAACTACGGTGCAAGGCCGATACTGTAGAAACTTGCAATTTGTGCCGTTGACCTGACCTTGACCTTGACCTCAAACTTTGAATTAAGTACATGTTTTTAGTTGTTCGTGATGAGATCTTTCGATTGGCGTTTTAATTTTCCAAATCGGACCATTAGTTCGGGAGATAACAGGGGGGGGGGGATAAAATTTACCCCCCAGCCCCGCGCGTTCGGCTGGAGACCCCAGCCCCGCGCGGGTTAAGACCCGAATCCAGACCCGGCATAGAACACGGCTCTGCCCTGACGTGACACATTACCCGGGTGTGTCACTTGAGAAAGTCGCACAGCGAGGCGGTGATGGGCCCGCCCTCCGGCAGCACCAGCTCCATTGTCTCCCCGTTAGCGCTGACTGTGACCTTTCGCCCGGAGCGGCTGCTGATGTCTAGGTAGTGCGTCAGGTAGTGGCACTGGCTCAGACACTGCAGCACCGAGTTCAGGTAACACGAGTTGCCCAGGTTGATCAGACCCTTGACCTTCGGAAGTGACTCGTTATCACAGTCCGCTTGAGCCTGCTTCTCCTTAGCGGAGGCGCCCTTGGAAGACTTGGGAGGCGGAGTGTCCTCCTTGGATGGCGTGGCCCCGGGACGTAGAGTTCCCTGCCTTTTCTTGACAAACTGCACAGCTTCGTGAAGTTTCTTATTACTCTTCAGTGACACTTTCTCGTTACATGTGAAACACCAGACGCCCCAGTCGGCGGCGGCGTTGACGGCCAGCGTGTGCGAGTCGGAGCGCGGCGTGTTAAAGTGCTGCGTGGCGTGCCTCGCGCAACCCTGGTGGCCGCACTGCATGCACAGCCAGACGCCGTGCGGCAGCTGCGCGCCCGACGGCACCGACTGCTCCTCCCCATCCGCGGGTGCCGTGCACGGGGTCGGCACCTCCTTGTCGCAGGCGCCGATCCGCCGGTTCGACTTCAGCTGCCGCTTAATGTCAGCCAGGCTGACGCTCTTGCCCACGTGCTGGCACATGCTTGTACCATTGTTGGGAAGTCCCATGTTCAATGGATCCAGTATCTCCTGTTCTGCTGGTCTGGTCGTAGGAGACGTGGTGGTTGGTAGCTCCGGTGGGAGCTTTGCTTCGGTGCCAGTTGAGTTTGTGGGTGGCCATGGAAGTGATTTTGGCTCAATGTTGGCTCTGTGACTCGGCCTTACATTGACGCTCGCAAGTCGAACGGCTGTGGCGTTGCCGCGCACCACCGCCACAGACACGCGCTGCATGAGGCGTTCAAAGTCCCGTCGGTCTCCTGTGGTCTTCACAATACGGCGGCCGAGCTCCTTCAAAAGTTCGGCTTAATAGGAAAGACTCCGCTCGCTTCGCTCGCTCCGTAATAATGCTTTGATCTTGCCCTATCTTAACCCGCACCCCTGTCCTTTTCCGTCGATATCTCCTAAACGGCTGGAGATATCGCCACCAAACGTTCAGGACCCCTCCGGGCATAAATTTTACACATTGTGACCAAAATTTTTTTCCAGAGGCTATGATAGGTTGGCCACAAATGACGTCAGAATGACGTCATGTTCTGTCATTTTCGACCGAAAAAAGACCTTCGCGACAAGACCTGTCAGGCCTGCAGCTTTGAAGATACAGAAACATGATCAAGACTGAAAAGGTGTGGAATTGACAGGGCTATAAAACTGCTATCTCGGATTTTTGATTTTTTTTAGTTTTGACTCCCCCCCAAAAAAATTGATATATTAGCCAACAAATCCAAAAAGTTTTTATGAGTTTCGAAAAAACCGCAATACATGTGATAGTATCTACCGTCTTCTATCTACATACCAAATTTCAGATCGATACCTCGTTTTTTGGCCAAGGTATAGCGAAATAAAAACTGTTCAAAAATGATGACGTCAAATTTTTAAACTCGGTTTTTGTTAATTCTAGACCTTGTAGGGCAAAAGAAAGACCACCTCCCCGTGACGAGCTGCATCGAATCGATACCCATTTTATGCAACAATATCGACTTTGAAATTTGACCTAATTTGACCTGAACTTGACCTGACCTTCACCAAAACGTGATCTAGGCTGGCCCCAAAGGCTGCCTAACCCACATAATCGCATTTGTCATGTAAAATGGACCATAAAACATGCATCACACGACACTTTATAATTGTGACCCCCCGTTGACCTGACCTCGCTGTGACCTGACCTGGTATCAGTGACCTCAGATAGCAAAGTATGTGTTTGACGAACAATGTACCATCGATGGTTTTCAATAAATTACCATTTACTCGATTTCACAACATATTTCTTGAAATGCCTGTGAACGGTGAAAATCCGACCTTTGACATGACCTGTGACGTCATTGGTTTGATCTAGGTCAATTAAATTTGGTCATAAGGTAGTTCCCCGGTGGTGCTATCGAACGCCGTTTGAATTTTGAAAATCGGCCGGTAAATTCCGAGATCTTAGGGGGGGGGGGCGAAACGCCCCTCCCCCTACGGGTGGTAGGGTCCGCCGATAGCCCTACGGGGCGCGGGTTAACTTATGCTGCTTATCATGGGGTCACTCCCCGAAAACACACTTAATAAACCTTGTTGACCTTCAGAAAATTTTTCGAGTTATTGTTGATAAACCGAGGCTTACTCACAACGGTCATCTACTCGCAAGGCATAAAATTATCAAGCTGGAAGACATCTATGGCTTCCAGCTACAATGTAGCTTGATGATGTCTATAGACATCATCACAACCACCTGGCTTCTTGGAGTGGTTTATTTCTTCTATAAGGCTGATCGAAGTTTTAAACGTGTTGAGTCACATTTCTCTGTTTTATTTTGGATGACAGTTTTCGGCCATCATTTCAGCTACAACAAAGCCAGCGAAAGCGGAACCTGGTTCTTCGAAGCTGATTCATTACACCAAACACAGGCTCTTGGAGTTATCAACTGTTCCACTGTCTTGCAAGAAACCGAAATGTTTTACAGAAGATCGGAAGGTCGCAAGGTAAGTGGTGTCTTTGTTGCCTGACTTGTAACCCCGCCACTGCTGATTGACCACTGCACTGATGATGTCCGTGAAGTTAGCGACAGCGACATCGACGAATGCAGCGTTGGATTCGGAATCGCCTAAAGGCCGCCCCACACTGGACCTCGCATGTGGGTTGCGAGGTTTTAGGTTTTAGGGTTTCTTCAAAAGTAAAGAATACACTCTATGTTGAGTGACCCACATCACCATGTAGCATGCGAGTCTGCATGTTTTCAGGATGCGAGCCAACTTGCTTGGCATTCCAAAAGTTGATCTTCAGTAAACTTTCGCGTTTCGTCACTGCTTGGGCTGCGAGTTTTGGTGTGTTTTGCTGAAGAAGAATGGCTGGGTTACATGAGCAATCCGTTCCAAATGCGTATCGTATCAAGCTAACACGTTTCCGCTCCTCAAATACGTAGGGGAGACCCGGGAGGTATGGGCCCCCTGGAGGTATGGGCCATCGCAGTTTTGAAGAAGTGTTGCGTATTTTTACACATTTGACCGCGTAAACTGGTAGCAGCCATTCCGTTATACTACACCCCACGTGCAGGGGCTCCGCCACGGTTTTGGGATGGGGGGGGGGGGTCCGGCCCAAAACACAAAACCTCGCTGGTGGATCCAGGGTGGGTATTTTGGGCGAATTACCCCCCCCCGCAGCTCCAATCGATGAAAAGGTTCAGTTTGTTCTAGAGTTCAAATAAAACTTAACAATACGTCCTTAGTCATTAGGCACACGTTACGCACTTGCTTCCCGGCCGCCGCTTGCTCCGTCCCTAGTCACACGTTACGCACTTGCTGCCTGCACTGTGCACAGCTACCCAACAGTCTGACAGTAACTAATGCGAGGGTGCTACAAAAAAGCTGGTAGCTCACGGTGTCAACGAGACCCAACGATACCATACAATGCATGTGTCAGTTGACCGGCGTCGGGATTGGGTTACCAGCCAGTCTGTCTCTTCATGGTTGATGCTGATTTGATGTTGTGTAGCCGGGACGTGGTGTGTTGTAACTGACGTGCCGGCTGTGTGGCCAGCCTGTCCTGTCTGAGGGGCACCGCGAAGCCAACTGCACACGGTCGCCACAAGAAGGTGTCGGCGCCGGTCGGTCGCGAGACGGGCGGCACGGCGTCAGACGAGGCCGACACCACCGCCGCCGCCGCCGCCGCCGCCGCCACCACCGTGCCGGTCAGCCAGCACAAGAAGGCTCCGGGTGAGTGCCAGGGTTGGAAATTGGCATCAGTTTATCCTATGTGTATGACGCTTTGAGTACTTTGAGTGCAGTAGCAGCATCAGGTGCCGTGGTGTGAAGAGTTTATCCGCGGGGGGAGGGGGGCTGGATTTGTGGTTTTTGTCACACTTATTCAGTGTTCTTTTCCGTACATGTTGTGAACATTTCAGACCAGTCACTCAAGGTCAGGTTTCCAGGTCACGTTAAGTGATCTCGCCTCAGCAAATGTTAGAATGCTCGTCATAGCTTCACTGATTGAATTGAACGATCGCTTTAACCCTCGCCCTGGCAGAGCATTTTTCATAACACGGCCTGGCAGGGGGGGGGGGGGTCGATGCGACTCTTCCCTCGCGGTTGGCTCCTATGGCACCTAGAAACACCAAATTTGGTAGGTAGGTGGGCCCCCTGGAATCCTCACCCCTGTGCAAAACACGCAATTGCTCGGGATTGGCGAGGGCTACAGGGGTGAAATTTTCACGCCAAATTAGACGCGTGCACTCATTTGTAGTATTAATGTACGAGTGTGTGGATTCAGCGGTGCGCTCGTGGTGGGGCCGCGACCGGCGCCGAGCAGAAAACACGTGCTTTAGGCTCAGTTGTTCGCTTGCAAAACTGAGTGAAAAGAATCAGAGCCGGCAGGTCATTGAACTTTGACAACGAACGCCGACGCATGGCACCGCTCGCCACGGGATTCACCAAAAATAAGATAAATTCATTTTTGCAATATCTCGGCCATTACTGAGCCGATTGTGCTGAAACTTCGACAGTCGGTAGGACATCACCGACGGATGCATTTCCATGGGTGGGGTGCTGTTGCACGTGCGCACGTGCAAGGGAATAATCCTACATCTCAGGAACGGCTGGGCCGATTTCGTTCAAATTTGGTACACATAGGCATTTAGAAAGGGTGGCTGGCCCAGGCCCCTGTCACTCCACTTTTGATGACCTCCTAAGGGGGCCTCAGGACAATAATGACGCGGTGCGCCACAACCGCTCCCAACTCCCAAGCTTCTTGCCAACAGCTGCCATTTTTTGAAAATATTTTTTCTTTTTTTAAATGAAGTTACAAATAATAAAAAAGTTGTAATACTAATGAAATCGATACTTTTCTGAAAAAGAAACTTACTGAAAAAAATGTTTCTTCATAGTAAAAGTATAAGCTCGATGCGTTTTACGTTGCTTTCCTGCTACTGCAGAGGTTTTTTAAATCGTCTATATCTTTAAAACTGGTCATTTCTTAGCATATTGCTGCTCTTTTTTGTCGCTAGAAAATTGGTTGGGCCTTCCATTGACATCGACGGTTGAGCGGTATGTGTAGAGAGCCATCAATAATCTTCAAATGAAGTTAGTCATTTTTACGTTGTTAACCCTCGCCCGCACATGCCATTTTCCCATCCTAGAACGCACATGGGGGGGGGGGGTGGTTGCCATCCCCCGCGCCATTTCGTTCCTGTTGGAGATAGAGCTTAGCGGTAAAGACCAAAAAGATTCTTTGGGAAGAGACGAATCCAATGATACCCAGTTTTACCTCCTCAGGTCAGTCATTGACCTTCCAGGTCAGGTCAAACTAAAAAATGTTGCTGTTTTGGGTCACCGTTGGATATCAAGTGCGCTGCTTATCAAATACCGATGACGATGCTGTTTTCTGGTGCCAAGCCAGCTAGAACCTCTTTGTCACACTACCCGACCAGAATTTTGCTGCTGAGGTCATTTCAGGTCAAGTTAGGTCAAGGTCAATTATATGTGTTTGTATGTCTGTGTGTGTCTGTGTGTATACTGATGTGTGCACCGATTGTTTTTGGGTCCATATTACAGGAAATCATGATCTGAGAAGCTTTTACCAAAAATGCAGTCAAAAACATAACAAAAAGTAAATTCAGCTTGCCTAAAACGCAATTATCTTAGATGACCTAGGTTGACCTTGACCCTGACCTTGACCCCTGTACATCGTCGAACAACATGTTCCATGATAGGTGGGAGGTAAGACTGGCAAAAAAGGCCGAAATCAGAGTGTCAAAAGCCCACAAGGCCCATGGCAAACGCAAGATGTTGAGAATTGGCCATTTGGGTCATGACATGACCTGAAAAACAAGGTCATATCTCCGAAACCAAAAATCACAGAAACTTGAAATTTTCAGTGGACATCAAGAAAGGATAGAGGAGCAGCTATACGAAAAATCAGCCTTCTAGCTCTAAAAATGTCGAGTGCAGAGTAGAAAGACTACCTGGGGGGGGGGGGGGTGGCAACCCCCCCCATGTGCGGGCGAGGGTTAAGGGACAGAGGGATAGAGGGATACGTTGTAAGGATCTGTCTCTGATTGGTCGGCGGGGGAGTGACTGTACCTTCTTTAGATGGCCTTGGGCTGGCCAAGTGTAGGTACTGGAGTCTACTGTTAACGCCAGACCCCTTGAGACCCTAATTTTTCGCGATTATTTTTAAATGCGTGGAGGAATTTCAACCAAGCTCAGGACATGGCCGTTTCAAGACAGGCCGAAACTTTTACAATTTAGATATTTTATCGCCATTTCAATATTTCAGGCACTTGTCATTGACTCGTAATGTTAACTGTTTTTCCATCCTGGATAGAGGCTTTCTACGTCATATGACATTAGGCTCCGCCCACGACTGCGGCATTGACCCGTGCCCATCAGCGACCTCTGTACAAACGACACCCCTGCCATCTGTGAAGGACTATGAATTTCGCTGATGCTTCACGTGCTATGAGTCAATTGCAGCAGACGGTCAAGTAAATGTTAGGCTCTTGTTGACTCTTGTATATAGGACCAAGAGGACCATCACTCCTCAACCTACTACTCAGTCGTGCTTCGAACAAACGTTAACGATTCCTAACAAATACGATTTTCGATGTAGGGTATCTGTTTGAAATACGAGCGAGCCGTATGATGTGAAGCTCAGGCAATTAACTTATTATTGCGTTGTTCGATGGTTGCATAGCGATGCACAAATCGGCAGCTACTTGGTGACATCCGACATCCCATTATCGCATTATCTGCAACGCCATAGGCTTTAAATACAGGTGAAAAAATATATAAACGAACATATCAGCATTGTAGAAGCAATGCGAATTGAGCATTTATGGCTCCTCAGTCATCATGTCGCTCTTTGGGCACTGTCAAACAAGACGTTACGCACAACTCCGCCGGCTTTCGGTACCGCTCGACCGTCCCCGCTCCCCGCCACAGCGCGAGTGACCGCGCGCCGGCCCGAAACCGCCGCAGGCCAAAACCACGGAGGCGGGGCTTAGCTGTGACGTCATAACGTATCGCACACTGACTGGTGATAGCCTCTACACACCGGATGAAAATCTTGCTCGAAATTTAACGTTACGAGTCAATGACAAGTGCCTGAAATATTGAAATGGCGATAAAATATCTAAATTGTAAAAGTTTCGGCCTGTCTTGAAACGGCCATGTCCTGAGCTTGGTTGAAATTCCTTCACGCATTTAAAAGTAATCGCGAAAAATTAGGGTCTCAAGGGGTCTGGCGTTAACAGTAGTTTGCACGTGCGCACGTCCAGCGGAGCCGATTTTTTTATCTCAAGAACGGCTGGGTCGATTGCGCTCAAACTCGGTATAGCGCTTCGGTCGAGTATGGGTAGAGTAGGGTAGGGTAGGGTAGGGTAGGGTAGGGTAGGGTAGGGTAGTGTAGTGTAGTGTAGTGTAGTGTAGTGTAGTGTAGTGTAGTGTAGTGTAGTGTAGTGTAGTGTAGTGTAGTGTAGTGTAGTGTAGTGTAGTGTAGTGTAGTGTAGTGTAGTGTAGTGTAGTGTAGTGTAGTGTAGTGTAGTGTAGTGTAGTGTAGTGTAGTGTAGTGTAGTGTAGTGTAGTGTAGTGTAGTGTAGGAGTAGGGGTATTGTAGGAATAGGAGTAGTGTAGGAGTAGGAGTAGTGCATGTGTAGGGGTAGGGGTATTGTAGGAGTAGGGTAGTGGTAGTTTAGAAGTAGGGTAGAGTAGGAGTAGAGTAGGGGTAGAGGTAGGGTGGGGTAGGGTAGGGGTCGGGTTGAGTTTAAAAAGGGGCTAACATAATACAAAAGACTTGGACACCCCGCAACTATCACCATTAAACCTTACAGTTCAACTAAAAACAACGACCCAAATCTTCCCAAATATGGGAAGATTTGGAATAACCTGCATCAAAATGCAGGTTATTCATTCAAACTAATGCATCTGTAAAATGCAATAAATCAAAACATCGCGTAAACCTGTACAGTTATCGCGTAAACCTGTACCTCTAGTCAATACTCGTAACATAAATCCTAAATAATCAGCCGCCGCCGCCGCCGCCGTGTGCGACGTAGTCACTTTGTAGCGCTTATAGCGGCGGCGTCCATTGACGTACGGCCGTGAAATTTTACAGAAATATGGGCCGCCTTTACACGTAGGTCGTATTGACTTTTGGACATGGTGCGGCCGGGGGTGCGCCCTTGGCGCGTGCTCACGTGCGCCATAGTGTTAAAGGTAGTGTGCCACCTTTCAATGATTTCCCATTTTATTTTTGCTAGGATAAGAAGCTTCTGTTTTTACCTGATATCGCAAAAAAATCAAAAATGGGCCTGGAATAGTGCCTTTTTCGCCTAAAAGTTTATCGGTTTTTCGATATGTATAACAACTGTAGTGGGCTGACCTGCAAACAGGCGTCGGCAACAATCGTGAATGCGACGCTAATGTGACAATAAGCAAAGGTCATTATAGAGTTACGACGTACGGGAATGAGTTATCAGCTGTCTAATCGTAGACAACACAATGTTGAACCTAAAACTGTAAGCCTGTATTGGTATTGCTTCTTTTATTTGGCTGTCAAACATTATTTATGGTTTGAAATATGATTTTATGTAAAATAATTGATATGAAAAAGCCGTCTCATAAGTTATGACCCCATTTCACCACACGCAAGTGGCAGAAATGACAATGATCAGCTGACGCATTTTTCTTGGCCGAAGTCAGAGCGCGCGGCCCGACGCACC